TATATATATATGTGTGTGTGTGTGTATGTAATAATATTCAATTTAGGTATTCAATGACTGTTGTTACTTAAGAAAATTAATAAAAAAAATAGTAATGTTAGTGAATGTGTATCATTGTCTTCAGGGGAAAGGGAGCCTAAGCCCTCGTGAGTCCCTCCCTCTTGGGTGCATGGCTGCTGATAATTATTTCTTGTCAATCACTTTTCTACATGTGTGTTATCATTTTTCACTCATATGAAAATACACAGTCTGTTGATATTTGTAAATATGCATGTGGCTATGCTCAGTGTATTTTATGCACAATTGATTAATGCTGGCATCTCAGTTGACTCATTTATTGTTTGTTTTGGATGTTGTGAATTCAAACTACATTTCCCAGCATTCTGTGTAGATGTTTGCAGCATTTAACCAGCCAAGCTTGTGGTGTTGTGACAGCTTCTACTACAATAGAATGAGCAGTCTACTTCTGCTTTTGTTTTATGCATCTAATTTATCTTGAGGCATCCACGTTGTGCAAGAGTACATTCAGTTAACTCCTCGACCTTGTGGAGAAAAACGGGTATTCTTGTTTGTTCTTTTAAATGGTGAGTCGTTTATCTAATTCTCTCTTCTATCAATCTTCGTGTTTCCTCAGAACATTTGCTTGCCCTTTACCAACAGTATTGTCCAGTTTGTTTGGGACAAGATTCTAATGAGTTCTGTCATGTTCATACAAAAAGCACATGTTCATTGGAACACTGGGGTGGACTTCTTTGTATATATGTACATACTGTGTAATCCACACTCTGATAGGTAAGGTACTTCAAAAGTGATGGTAATAAATGTAGAGATGCAAAGTAGTATTCAGAAATAAGGTGTGCCTGGTTCTGATGGAGAAAGTCATTCAGTGTTGATTATTTATTAGTTTATAAACAAACCGTTAAACTTGTCTATTAGACAAACGGAAGAGGGGGGTGTCAACAAATCTGGAAAACAGAGAATTATTAGGTAATTTGTTATTCAATATTTGAAAGTCAGGGATTTGTTTTGTTTTCAAGAAATAAATTTTTTAAAGCAATTAAAATAAAACTAGTTATTACTAGGGTGGTCAGTAAAACAGGACATATTTATACAAAAGTGCTAGTCTGAAAAATCGCTTTCTAAATTTTTGTCATCAATTGTCATAAGTATATTGTAATTGCTAATTTTTTATATTATAATTTGGATTTGTTAAATATTAAAATACAAAGAGATTTCATTGACAAAGGTTTTGTTATCTGAGGCCTCTATTAAAGGAGGTGAGTTACTGTCAGTTTAAGATAGGGTTTGAATAAGGTGGACAACTCTATTCATTATTCCAATATACATGAGTATAATTAAAATTATTACTGTCATTATTTTCTGTTTTATTACATTTCTATCAACTGAGATTCCATGTATCCTTACTGAACATATTATTGTTAATGTAAAATATAAAATTAATATTACTTGTGTAATGTAACATGTTTTGGAACATGTCATTTGAATGAAAATATTTTAATGATTTGAGTGTTTGTGTTTGTTAATGAAATTATAAGGAGAAAAAAAGGTTACAATGTTTTGTGTTTCTTTGAAGTCATTTCAATTATGTCACGAAAAATTTGGTGGTAATAGGTCTGGAAAATCAGGAAAAGGTTTATTTTCCAAATTTCTTTGCGTCAAGAAATATATTAGATTGTTGCAGTGGCCAAGGATTGGATTGTAACACAGATTGTGCAGGCTTACATTAACATTTACACAATTGTCTGATAATCCAAAAATTAGCTTTGTTGCGATAAAATTTTGAGCTGTTTTCTCATAACTTTAAATACTGCTATTTGCATTTTGTCATCTCTTCCTAATGGACCGCAGAGCTTCACACAGATTTGGAGGGCAGTCATTGTAAAATCCAAGGAAAAAAGGTGACGTATTTCTGGCAATAAATGCTGAGAATGCTTCATATTATTGGTTTATTACAGTCTCCAATCACATTGGCTCATGACCAGGACTATCAGCATAGTCAGGCACTTAATGGCTGATTTATACTTCCTAAGCACAATGTTTGTTACACAAACTCTGCACCTTCAGGATTCATTACACAGTGTCACAAAGGCTTTCTGATACTCTCATGCAGCATCAGGTCGCATAAAGTTGATAATCTTGTATTACTGCTAACCACAACTCAAGGATGCCCTCTTTGATACCCTCTATTACACATATGGTCCTCTACTTAGTAGCGACCATGTGGCAGGGAAATCTGTGACAACAAACCTCTGAATTTGTGATTGGTAGATGTGTTTGTTTACACAGATGTTGATATTTGTCAAACAATTAGGGGTGGATTTGAATAAGATCTTAAGGAATCCTAAGTGTGACCAAACTATGGGGCCCTCTATTAATATTGAGATTTTGAACATTTGTATAAACAAACAGAAGATGAAAATAAACTCTAATCTTTGCCCTTTAAACAATGAATATTAAAATGTTTTAACATATTTATGAACTACAGTAAACCAGGATAACTTTGCCACCTGGGGCAACTTTCCCAGTTTTGAAAATTATGTTATTTGTTGCCCTGCCAAGTTCCCAACAATAGAGGTGTCAATGACTTCATTCCACAAAGACTTTAAAGATCAGGTTCTTTGAACATTTTTAGGCTTATCACTTGTTTGCATGTCTTTATCAGAGCTTTTGACTTGTAGAACAGGAGATTTTGGTGATGTACAAAAGTGTCTCGCCCTGCCCATTTCGTAGAACTTCAAAATGTATCCTGTTAGATCCACTATTTGAACTTAAATTTATGTTGCATTTAGATGTAATATTGTAACATGGCAATACTGCACCAGGAAACTTGGTAAAAATGAGGCAATTTTACCAACTTGAAATTTTGTTATTTTTCTCAAATTCTTGCATAATGCTTTTTCGAATTGTTCAATTTTCTTCTTTCTGCATGGTAGTTTGATTTTATTGTGATTTGAAATACGTAAAAGTATAAATATTTTTCTTGATTTTGATTACATTATTAACTATAAACTAAATGTTAAATCGAAAATTGTATATAAAATATTTATAGGAGATATTGAACATTTTTTTAATCACTCATTATTTAAAAAAGTTAATGATTACAAGTACATTTAAATAATTAATAATAAACATTTTTCTTAATTTATATTTAATAATAATTACCTTCACTAATAATTCATTAACATGTAGTACAGGGGTGTCCAACTTGCAAGGCCTGAAGGGCTGCAACTAACACCTTTATTATGGTTGTGGGCCATATTTTCATTGCTCGGATGATCCTCACCTGACATTCCCATACTGTTGATCTTGGCAGTTTGCTCGGCTGCTCTGAAAGGTGGGGGAGGGACGATGGAACTATGTGTGATGTGTGATATCAGGCCATACCATGCATAATGCAGTGAAACACATTGGAGTGATTTGAATTTCTGAATTTACTAAAAAAAATCTTTAACACTAGATGGCAGCAGGGATCAAAGTGACACCTGCATCAATTGTTTCAATACTAAGCTCAGTGTTTAAGTGTTTCTTTCAAACATTGTGACTTTTCCTAATTTTTTATTCTCTTTATGATGATATATTTGGAACCTATAAAATATTATTTTTTATTGTTTTATCATGTGATATCCCTAGAGCGGTCATAATGTCAGGTTCAGTTGGTCTTTCTGTTGACAAGTTGTCCCGTATGCTAGAAAATTCAGATTTGGAATCAGGAAGTGATATAACTGATTCAGATGAAGACTTTGTGCAAAGGAATAGTGAAGATGAAGTTGGTAGTTCAAGTGATGAGCTGTCAGCAGAAGAAAATGCAATAGTTGATGAAGCCCAGTCTTCTCCTCGATCATCTCAATAGGAGTAGCCAAGTGGGAGGTCATTAGTACCAACTCATCATCTGGAAGAAGAGGAGCTGTAAATGTCTTGAGAGAACGAGGTGGTCCCACTTTGTGGGCATGCCAGCGAAGGAATGGATCTGTGACAAGTTCCTTCCATTTGCTATTTGATGAACCAATGCTTTGCCTCATGAAGAGACACACAGAAACAGAAGCATGAAAAGTACTGAAAAACAGCAACTGGACCTTGTCTCTCGAAAAGTTGGAGGCATTGATCATCATCATGTATGCACAAGGAGCGTTTTGTGCAAAGGGTATCTCAGCAGATGATCTTTGGTTTAGTTTACGGAAACCAAAATTCGTAAAGGACACAATGCCAAGAAATAGATTTCGAGAGCTTCTCAGATATCTCTGTTTTGATGACAAATCAACCCGAGCTGAATGCCTTGCCATGCTGATAAGTTTGCTCTAGTGTCAGAAATGTGGGAGAGGTTTGTAGAAAACTTCATCAGTTCAAACTTGTTCAAACTTCATCAAAACTTCATCATTGCCCAGATGAAAATGTAACAATCAATGAGCAATTACTTCCAATCAAAACTAGGAGCAGATACCCAGTTTATTAAATTTTGGACCGCGGCTGATGTGTCAACGAAGTACATACGTGATGTCTTTCCCTATCTTGGCAAAGAGGATGCTCGAACAAATCAACAACCATTGGGTGAATTTGTTGTTCTGCGTCTTATGAAGCCATTTCTAAACCAAGGAAGAAACTTGACCACTGACAATTTTTTTACGTTTCTTTAACTTGCCAAAAAGCATGAAACGAAGAAAACAAAATTAGTGGGGACCGTTTATTTGATCCATCATGAAATGCCTGATGAGTTGAAGCGAAATACTGAACTTCATTCATCTGTTATTTAACGACACACTCCAGGCAACACAAACTGCACCTTGACAGTGTATCAGTCAAAGAAGAAAAGAACGTCATGCTTCTCAGCACACGTTATTGTGAAGTAGCAGTCAGTGAGGAAGGAAAAAAGAATCCAGAAACTGTGACATTCTATAACACCACAAAATATGTAGACCAAATTACTCAGAAATATAGCACCAAAGCAGCGTGCAGGAGATGGCCAATGCATGTTTTCTATAATATAGTGGACATGGCAGCAATCAATGCTTCAATTATCTACAACCATGTAACTAATGAAAAGATGGAAAGGAAAAAGTTCTAGTGAACTGAAAGAAGGGAATTTGTCAAAAGATGAACACAAAGGAGAAGAAGAGACTGTAGTACCGGGGCCATCCTATAAGTGAAAGAAGTGCCAAATCCGCTTATGCAATGGAAACAAAACCAATGATTTGTGTGAGATGTGACATAAAGCCGTTTGTGAAAAATGTGCCAAAAAAGTGGAAATCAGTTGCAAAAAATACATTTAATTGTTTAAGATCCTTTTTAGATGTGTAAGAATAATATGCTCTCCAAAATAAAGCTCTATTTTAAAAAACAAATCGAATTTCAGTACGTGTTCATAGTGTCAAAATGACCCATTCCCGCTGTTCTAGATATATCAGATTTGCTGCTGTTCTAATGTTAAATCTAAACAATC